GAACAAGGGCGACCGCAGCGACTGTAACAACTACCGCGGCATCTCTCTGCTCAGCACTGTGGGGAAGGTCTTTGCACGCGTTGCCCTCATCAGGCTCCAGCTTCTGGCGGAGCGCGTCTACCCTGAGACACAGTGTGGCTTAAGGGCAGCAAGATACACGGTGGACATGATCTTCACCCTTCGACAACTGCAGGAGAAATGCCGTGAACAGAGGAGACCTTTGTATCTCGCTTTCGTCGACCTCACAAAGGCCTTCGACCTTGTTAGCAGAGATGGTCTCTTCAAGCTGCTTGCAAAGATTGGTTGCCCTCCAAAACTTCTCAGCATCGTGACATCATTTCACAACAACATGCAGGGTTCAGTCTGTTGTGATGGAGAAACTTCAGAGGCCTTCCCAATCCGCAGCGGAGTGAAGCAGGGCTGTGTTCTTGCACCGACCCTCTTCGGAATTTTCTTCTCTCTCCTGCTGTCGTTTGCATTTGGCTCATCCCATGAAGGCGTCTACCTACACTCAAGAGCTGATGGCAAACTCTTCAACCTTGCCCGCCTTAAGTCCAAGACGAAAGTGACCAGTGTACTCCTGAGGGAAATGCTATTTGCAGATGATGCAGCTCTAGCATCACACACAGAGACAGGGCTCCAGCAGTTGGTGGACAGGCTCTCTTATGCATGCAAGGAGTTCGCCCTAACCATCAGCATTAAGAAGACCCATGTCATGGGCCAAGAAGTCGAAACCCCACCCTCCATCTCTATTGACAACAAGACCCTAGACTGTGTGGGCACCTTCACTTACCTCGGATCAACAGTCGCCATTAACCTGTCACTTGACGCAGAACTGAGCACCCGTCTTGCCAGGGCCGCCACAGTGATGGCCAGGCTGGCAAAGAGAGTGTGGTCTAACAAGAACCTAACTGTGTGCACAAAACTCCAGGTCTACCAAGCATGCGTCATCAGCACTCTGCTATACAGCAGTGAGGCCTGGACCACCTACACCAGACAAGAAAAACGGCTGAACAGCTTCCACCTGCACTGCCTACGCCGCATCCTTGGCATCAAATGGCAGGACAAAGTCCCCAACACGGAAGTCTTGGAACGTGCCCACTCCACCAGCATGTTCGCCATGTTGAGCCAGCGCCGCCTCAGATGGCTCGGTCACGTCCACAGGATGGACTCCGGTCGTCTTCCAAGGGCCATCCTGTATGGCGAGCTTTCGTCAGGCTCCAGGCCAATTGGTCGTCCGAACCTACGATTCAAGGACGTCTGTAAACGTGACATGAGGCAGAATTTGGTTGAATATGACATGATCTAGGTGGCGAGTGTTTACTGTTATATTATTACAAACAGAATGGCATTCAATAAGTCCATACAGACACTTCACTACATATGTGACGGACTGCTTGGCTCGTCTGTTCTCCAAAGACATCCAGTTCAGGGCTTGAAGTCTGTCCTCGTATGTTACGGTTCCCCTGGCAACCTTCAGACACATCCTGCTGGCCCGCCTCTGGACTCGTTCCAATTTACAGATGTCAGCGGCAGTGTAAGGGGACCAGGCAGGCACTCCGTATTCAAGCACCGGTAGTACGAGGGATTTATAAAGAGATGAAAGGGCCTGTGTTGAAGTTCCTCCTGCTACTTGCCAGATGAACCCTAGTGTCCTATTGGCTTTGGAAACGACTGCATTGATGTGATTAGACCAGGTCCGAGTGTTGTTGAGGGTGAGTCCAAGGTATTTGTAGGTTGAAGTGATGCTTACAGGAGTGTCGTTGAGGATATAAGTGGGGGGATCAATTTGTTTCTTTGCTCGCGACATGTGGAGAACCTTAGTTTTCCTTAGGTTGAGCTGCATGCCGTTCATTTCACTCCATCGGCCAAGTTCAGTGAGGTCTGTTTGAAGGGCATGCTCGTCATCAGGTGATTGGATGGGTTGGTAAATAAGTGTGTCGTCGGCAAACAGCAGGAATTACAGCCATGCACACACAGTGCATGCAGTGGCGTCGCCAGGGGGGGGGGGGGGCAGGGGGGGGGGGGGGCACGTGCCCCCCCCTGGAAAACCTAGTGCCCCCCGAGTGCCCCCCCATCTGAGATTTGGGTTGGTAAAAAAATATATATATATTTTGTTATATTCAACTCCCATCATCTGAGTTGGTTAAATAGCAATTTCTGGATATATCTTCAGATCGAATTTAGCATCAAATGTGGCACCATTTTGCATCTAGCCCATCCTCCGTATGCGAAAATTTTCCAAAGGGGAGGGGGGCACCCCCTCCCCTTAGACCCCTCCCCCAGGACGGCGATCCGTATCCACCTAAGTGCCCCCCATCAAATGCGGGTGCCCCCCCCCTGTGCCCCCCCCCCAGACTGAAAAGTCTGGTGACGCCACTGAGTGCATGCATGAGCTAGTCCGCGTAACCCAACGCCTTGATGGTTTTGAGTTGACCCAGCAAAACCTATTACGGTAATGAGGTACCACCCCCGCGTATACTGAATTCTCATTGGTCAGCCCGCGATAGGCTAACAAACATGTCGCATCCGCGAAGAAACGCTGCAATGGCGGCCCGTTGCTGTGGGTGAAAGTCGTTCAGTCCCAGTCTGTCCGAAGCAGTATTGAAGGCTCCAACGAATTATGCAGGTAATGCTGTCATTAGACGATCGTTGCCCACTCAAATGGATTCATTACACGAGCCGAAAAACTCGAACCAATGTCAAATTGTTGAAAAAGTGACGAACATTTCGCTCTCGCTAACAAGACATGGAAGACGCCATGATGACTAATGCATTATGCATGCAGCGCGACGTCACATGATTCTTGTGAAGCTTACAATTGGTCAGCTTAAAAATGAATTAATCATACTATTGGGAAGGTTGTTTCATGTGATTGGTCCAAGACGAACCTACATAATCATCACGGCATACCCGCATATCCTGAAGCCCGCCCATTTTTTTCCAAAACTGGACGAAAAGGTAAATAAAGACATTAAACCCGGAAGTTGCAGACCCAACAAGGCGGTCGTTCGACAGGCCACGCGGCGCGTATATCCCCCACACGCACGTACGTACACCAACACGCAGAACACAGTAGGCCTACATTTTACTGCCTTATTACACCATGCGTACATGTACAGTCCGTACTCACGTGTGTGTGCTTGCTGGTTGTGTTAGTACCGAACCGTTCGTACGGACAAGGGTCGGTGGTACACGCACGTAGCCGCGTTGATTGTGGGTGCAGGGCCCGATTATCTCCCTTCGACAAAAAGCAAAGAGACCGCATTGAACAAGGCTATGTGAGTGGTGGATAAAATCGGAATCATTAGAACAGATTCGACGGAGTCTGAGGGTCTGACTGTAGGCTATGCTGGTTTTGCAGTGTCGGGGATAGCCTTTCGCCCAGGCCTTCGTGGCTTATTAGAGCGGCGGAGTTGCGAAGACCCGAAGCGACAGGAGCAAAGATTAAGTCAGCACGCACGAGTGGCAAAGCCACGAGGCCTTTTGCAACTTGATTTTGTTGAATTATTCATAGTTTTTATGCAAATAAGAAGCGCGCTGAAGGTTAACCAATCACAACGCGGATTTTGCCTAGTCGCTTCCATTTTTAAAAGAAGGGTGAGTAAGGAAAACGTAAGAGCAAATAACTGTAAGTTCAGATGAAAAATAAGTTCATACCCTCAAATAATTTGTTGAAATATACGAAAGCCCGTTAGTGCCATCGAGTGTATAAATTGCTCTTTTGCAAGTATATGTTTGGTGAATCTTGTTTTTCGGATGTATATGTTTAGCAAATCTTGTTTTTTGGATGTATATGTTTGGCGAATCTTGTTTTTTGCAAGTATATGTTTCCCGAGTCTTGTTTCTTGCAAGTATATGTTTCCCGAGTCTTGTTTTTTGCAAGTATATGTTTCCCAAGTCTTGTTATTTGCAAGTATATATTTCCCGAGTCTTGTTTTTTGCAAGTATATGTTTCCCGAGTCTTGTTTTTTGCAAGTATGTTTCGCGAGTCTTGTTTTTGTGAAGTCTATTTTTAGTAACATTCTTGTTTTTTGCAAGTATATGTTTCCCGAGTCTTGTTTTTTGCAAGTATGTTTCGCAAGTCTTGTTTTTGTGAAGTCTATTTTTAGTAACATTCTTGTTTTTTGCAAGTATATATTTCCCGAGTCTTGTTTTTTGCAAGTATATATTTCCCGAGTCTTGTTTTTTGCAAGTATATGTTTCCCGAGTCTTGTTTTTTGCAAGTATGTTTCGCGAGTCTTGTTTTTGTGAAGTCTATTTTTAGTAACATTCTTGTTTTTTGTAAGTATATGTTTCCCGAGTCTTGTTTTTTGTAAGTATGTTTCGCGAGTCTTGTTTTTGTGAAGTCTATTTTTAGTAACAGTCTTGTTTTTTGGAAGTATATGTTTCCCGAGTCTTGTTTTTTGCAAGTATATGTTTCCCGAGTCTTGTTTTTTGCAAGTATGTTTCGCGAGTCTTGTTTTTGTGAAGTCTATTTTTAGTAACAGTCTTGTTTTTTGGAAGTATATGTTTCCCGAGTCTTGTTTTTTGCAAGTATATGTTTCCCGAGTCTTGTTTTTTGCAAGTATGTTTCGCGAGTCTTGTTTTTGTGAAGTCTATTTTTAGTAACATTCTTGTTTTTTGGAAGTATATGTTTCCCGAGTCTTGTTTTTTGTAAGTATGTTTCGCGAGTCTTGTTTTTGTGAAGTCTATTTTTAGTAACAGTCTTGTTTTTTGGAAGTATATGTTTCCCGAGTCTTGTTTTTTGCAAGTATGTTTCGAGAGTCTTGTTTTTGTGAAGTCTATTTTTAGTAACAGTCTTGTTTTTTGCAAGTATATGTTTGGCGAGTCTTGTTTTTTGGAAGTATATGTTTAGCAAATCTTGTTTTTTGCAAGTATGTTTCGCGAGTCTTGTTTTTGTGAAGTCTATTTTTAGTAACAGTCTTGTTTTTTGCAAGTATATGTTTCCCGAGTCTTGTTTTTTGCAAGTATATGTTTGGCAAATCTTGTTTTTTGCAAGTATAAATTGAGCAAGTCTTGTTTTTTGGAAGTATATGTTACCCGAGTCTTGTTTTTTGCAAGTGTATATTTGGCGAATCTTGTATGTTTCCTGGGTTTTGCACCGTGAGACTTGATCGTATCGTCACCACGCTGGCGTCGGGCGATCAACGCATGAGGGCGCCTCGGACATGATGGACTCTTCCGGCAGAACTGCAGGTAAAGATTTTCAAATTGGAGAGTCTTTTTCTGTTCCTCTTTTTTATGAGATTAGTTTTAAGCCGAGAGAAGAGTCACGTACGCCATTCTTTGTAGCTTTGATGCTTTACTCTTTCACTTTAGAGAGGATAACAATGTCAAACAGGATTGCACGATCCTAGTCCTAGGCCAGTTACTTTTCTTCTCCATGTATGATGTACGTCAGCGTGGTTAAGTCTAATGCATAAATGCTAGGCCTACATGTACATTGTGTAACGTATAGCACGTCCTTTCAACAGTGGTTAGGCATGGGAGAGCACCCGCCTATAACATTGGTCTGACCTTGATCTACGTGTAGGTGACCCAAACCGGGCACCCCCTCTCTATTAAATATGGAATTGTTCTTGGGGACATATAAAAAGTAAGTGTATAGGCCCACCAAAATTGGGGCTCTTATCCTATCCGGTGCCGTGTCATGATTTTGCCCAAAATTGGCTCTAACGTTAACTGTAAGCCAGCCAACAGACTAGTAGTACACTTATCATAATCTTAGATACTGTCGTGACTGTAAAATTATTGAAACAACACCAGATATATATTTGATTGGCCTTTTAGCAATTTAGGCTTCTTACTGTTGTAGAAATAATTGTTTATTGACATTGTATATAGGTGCAAGCTACTTTTTCAACTCATTTTCAGTGTTCCTGTTTTTTTCTTGATAGGCAATTCATCAGGTATGGATCTTTACCAATTTATGAGGGACAGAGCAATCCCAGAAGCCACTATAGAGAGGATGAGGAAAGAGAAGGTACACAGCACATTCATGACACTAATGAGTGTTTTTTGCATATGTTTTACATCAAATAATACTGCAAACCTAAGTAATACATTAAAAGACTTTGTCTGTTTGATATTATGAACCATTGTAAACTAATTGTGTTACTCTTTAAGGGTAGGGTGGGCCTCCAAGTTTTTGACATTATAGTTTGGGTGAAAAGATAGTGTTAACTTAAAACAATACTGAGGTTTACATTTTGTATTTGTTTGCGAGGGGAAAATTTGCACACTTTTCTCGAGTCCTAATTCAGAGACCAACATTTCCCGCAGTGATTCTAGTGCATGCATGCATTTGCTGGTTTGCTGGTGGAACATGGAGTGCACCCACAAATGTATGCTCAATCATGAATATACAAAAACAAGACCCTTTCGCAGCAACATGACTTCACTCAATAGTCATTTGATTGTGCATAAGACTCTTCAAATAAATTTAAACAAATCTGTGTTGTCTTTAAATCTGAAGAAGTATTGGTTGGTGTGAACAAAGTCACTTTCGTGTAATAATGCCACTATAAAATGCACGTGTTTTTTTCTGTTAAAAGAAATTTGCAAACATTTAAAAACACCAAGGGCCATACAAATTACTATCAAATTAACTAGTCCTGCACATTATTGGTTATGAATCTGAAACAATCCAAGACTTAAAAATGACATTTTATAAGGCTGCCATATGAAATTTTGTGAGCATTATTTCTTAAATTGTCAAGTTTATCTTGATGCAGATTGATGCGAAAACAGTGCTTCTCATTGATGACAAACAACTTCAGGCATTCCTCCCACACCTGGGCGACCGTGTGGCAGTTCAACATTTCTGCAAGAAAACCATGAAGCAATCATCTTCCAGTGATAGTGAAGATACTGAGAAGGGGAAACTCCTGCAGAAACTTCGAATGAAACTTCATAACAAAAGAGGCGGTGGTACATCAGAAGCTCCAAAAGTGCACCTTGTTGGGAACAAACATGCAAAACGCACTACACGAAAAATAGACATTGGGTGGATGCATTATGATGAAGTCCAAAAACAATACAAGCAAGTCCGGAAACAACATGGGGGAGGGACAAGAAAACTGGCAGTAAGTAAGTCGTCAACAGCAGATACCCTAAAAAAGATAGCAGAGGGCCTCTTTTTTAAAGACGGCCAATCCTCAAAAGGATCGTTGGAATCGCATGAAACCCAACTTACTGATGTTCGGCACCAAGTTGTACCGAGCAGTGCCACATTGGAGGAACTGTTTGAGGAAGCAAAGATGGCAGTCGTACGATTCTACCTAAAAACGAAACAATATGGCGTGGAGAGTGAGGACGAAGAATCTTTTGACTTGTGGGATCCCCCAGAAGTAGAAGTGGAGACCTCAAAAATTCCTGTGGATCAGGTATTTTGGACTTTGTGGATGTGCATGTTTTCATCATTTTAAAAAAAAAGTGTTTTCCTTGTAGAAAGGACTAATAGAAACAATGAGCAGACCACAGGTAAAGGTTACAAATTATTGATCAATTTACCTAGCAAGCAAGAGAGTATAGGATACATTTACATCACTTTATGGAAATAGAAACATCCATGTAAAGCAGTACATGCTCTTAGATGCCTCAAACAATTATATAAAGTACACAGGCCAACAGGAACTGACTGATCAACCTCAATTTAAGCATGTGCAGGAACTTATTCTAAACCCTGTTTTTATAGTCTTCAGCGAAAATAGCTTCTTCAAAATACAATGTGTTTCTGTAACTACAGACTGGGGTGTCACTTCTGTGATCAATTGTGAATAATGTCATTAACTGGTACAGATGAACATCATGTCTACGAGATCAATGCATATCAGTTTTCTTTTCCTTTGTGAAGTTTTGTTACTCTTATTGTTATTGTTAGGGGTACTATAACTGTTACTTTTATTGTTCTTGTCACATAGCATTCAGACATGGAAGCCAGTACAAGCTTTGAACAAACAGATACACCAACCATTCTATTTCGTCACCGACATCAGGTAAGATTCGTATGGTTTAGCAGCATGTGTGCATGACATAGCTTTGTCTGCATCTCAACTCTCTCAGTCTCGGCAATATGTAAAAATGAAGAGTTGTACTTTTCTCCTTCTCCCCTTCATGTTAACAGCCTTTTTTAAACAGTTAATTGACATTTGATTTTTTTGATATAATTGTGGTCTGTCACGGCACCTTCAATTGACTATGAAAAAAATGAAAGAGCTTAAAATTAAATGGCTCATCTTCTTTGTTATTTTTTTATAAATAGGAGTGTAATGAACATGTACCAAGTACTGACAGTGCGGGAAGTTACCAGTCCTACATAGAAATACTTGACAGCGACATTGATGAAGAAGACCAATCACTAGCTGCTGCGATCGAAGCCAGTTTAAATGACATCCAGCCACTACCAGAACCAAGGTAATATTGATAATGCATGTACTTACTGATGAATTTTGTTCAGGGGATATATAGAACTGTTTTCAAAATTTCACATTTTGAATAGACATTTATTTTATACACTCCTTGATTATGTAGCAATATGTTCACTGCAAAACAACAAAGTTTTGAAAATGGAATCTATTACAGTAAAGAGAATGTAGTATGGTAAGTGCAAACTAACCAAAGGGTGAAGTATGAGGCTGATCAAATAAGTCCAACTTTGTAAGGTAGGCTCACAAAGGACAAACAAGGTGGACGTGCACAATCGTAACTGAGAAAAGAAAAAAAATGCATGCCAGGACAAAGAAAGAAGAAAACTTAACCTACAAACAAATAAATTACAACCAAACGAATAAACAAAAAAACATACAGACAGCCAGACAGACTGGAAAGACCACAAGAATTGTAATGGTATAGGTGGTTGGTCTATAACCAGACCTAGAAGCTTTAGCTATATAGCCCATAATGGCATAGGAGAAATCTTAAATGAAGATTTCCATCATGTATCTGTGGCATTTGCAACATTTCCCAATTATTGTAGTATGATAAAAAACCTTGTGTTGGAAACTCAATTATTGTCAACATCAGCGATAGATTCACTTATTGAAATGGACTAGTATAACACAATAGTGACGACATTATGACTTTTTTGTCTTTATCCAAACTATATGCTATTAGATGTGGCCTCTTCCACATGTTGGACAAACTAATTTTTTTTTTTGGGGGGGGGGGGTTTGTGGTGGTCAACAATTAGCAAGGAGGCATTAATTTTCACCTTGAAGGAAATTTACAATGCAACAACCACATTTCTGACATTCACAGTTGATTCTTTCTTGACAGTCAGTGTGACTGTATAAATAAGTTCTAAACTTTATACTGGATTATTTATTACTGGATAAACTTTATACTGGATGGATTATTTCAGTTTGTTGGTTTACCCTCCATTATTTCTGACAGAACAGAGAAAACGCTGCATCAGATAATTTCACAGCTCGAGCAATCAATCACAGGAGATCCCATAATGGTCATTGCTTCTAGAAAAAGGTTGCTGAAGTCAGCTATACATGCTACTCAAGCCCAGGGCTTCAGTTTTGATCGACCACCTTGTGTGACGTTTGCCGGTGAGGAGGCCGAAGACGAGGGTGGGCCAAGTAGGGAGTTTTTTAAGTAAGTACACATGCATGTATTTAAACCAGAATAACTGAGACAGTGTTTGTTATATTCAATTATTTAAGCATAGGTTGATGTTTTTGTCTCTCAGTTGCCGTGTTTGTGTTGTCCCTTGATCACCTCCCCCCCCCCCCAAAGGAAATTCATTATCACCAAAATTTAACTATTTTTTGCCCAAATAAGGAAAACATTCTAGGTGCCAAGCAAAGTCTCAGGCACAAGTAGGGAAAAAGTGAGCATCTTTTTGCTGATTTTAGAATTAAGGGGTTTTGTAATGTCTAAAAACAGAACAAGGGATTTTAGACTTCAGATATCTGTTCACAGTCAAAAAAATATTGTTTGTACATTGTGGGATGAAGTAGTACAAGGAGCAAGGAAATAATAGTCCTTTAAAATCCAAATCTCGTCCGTTTGTTGCCATTATTACAATTCCTCTGAAAATGCACTTTTGGGGCAAAATTGCCATATTTGAGACAGTATAGTAACACAATGACAGCATTTTCAAAATCTTGCAAAGCAAGTACGAGAAAGTTGTTTCTATTGTAGGTACCTCTAGGTGGGTACTTCACATGGATGCTTTAGTTTTAGTGACATGATGTCTATTTTCAGTGCTACTTTAAAACTGTGTCGATATGGAGACTGAGATGGCCAAAGGTTTGAAAACATGACTATAAATCACTCAGGCATGCAACTGGCAAGTCACAAAAAAAAAGAGAAAATTCAAATCTTTCCAAGACTTTGTACAGTGTTTTTCTGTTTTCAATGGCACACATGGGAAGTAAAAAAAGAGGAAATCAACTGATCCGAGGAAAACTTGCATGCCTGATCACTGAAACAAAACTTTAAATCAACAAGAAAGGATCAAGAGACATCAACACATTAAAAAAAAAATTTGTCTTCTGAAGTCAAAAGAAAATTACAGCGCAAGGTAGAAAAGAGCATTTATTGGTCTTTGAGTGGTCTGAATTTATTTGCACCCACTGTCTGGTATTATGAACTGACTATATTATCATTATGATATTTTTCTTTTAACATAATTATGCAGGTTGCTAATGAAAGGCGTTGCATGCATGGGCATCTTTGACAGTTCTAAAGGTGGTCTTCAATTCAGGTACGACGTGGAACACATGAGGAAAGGCACATACAAGACAGCTGGTCAACTAATACGTTGGAGCTTGAGCAATGGTGGCCCTGGCCTGAATGGCCTTAACCCATGTGTGTTTGAGGCTATGGTTGGGAAAGCAGATGTTAGTTTGAGTGAGGTGGACAACATCTGTGATACAGCATATCGTGCGAATGTGAAAAAGGTACTCTTAATTAAAAGGACATTGCATGCATAATCCGTTAGCAGTCCATAGAAAACTTTCTCCGTTAAAAAAAATCCACCCACATCTTTTCCACAATGATATGCCATTTCTGGGTGAAAAAAAAATCTACATGTTATCCAGGGATAGTTGTGACAAGTGCCCCTGCTGTTAAGATTAAAACACACCTTAAGATCAATTTTAGCTTGGTGATAAATTGAGCTGTGTCCCATTTTACATCATAACGTGCACACAGATGGCTAGTCTTAGAAATCTCAGCAATGTGAGTGCATGGAGAAAGATTGTAATGATTGGATGAATCGGATTGAATAAAATGCACACTCGAGATGTTTCAGCTAGTAATAATAGTGTACGGTATTGTGTCTAGACAAGATGGCTGCCTACATAGAGAACAAACTCACATGGTTATGGGCGCTATGCACAATTATAAGTGGCACAGTTAAATAATGAATGCGCACATTCATTACAAAGATCAAAAGTTCATCCATAACTGTATCATATGTAACTTGCTTCAACTGGGGAACATGCAGGAACAACCACCAGAGGGTCCTGCCAAATTCTTGTTTGTAAAAAGAAGAAGGAATCATACATGTAGCCTTCAGAGATATTGTAGAGAAGCATTGTGTCCACGAGAGCAGTTTGAAATAAGTTTGTAGATATGGTTAAGCATCAGTATAAATGTGGCCTTAAAACAGACAGCAACAAATTAACCGGTACACACTCACAATGTTGCGAAACTTGAACTTTCCTTTTTTTTCCTTCTTTTGGGAATGCTGTCACTGGCAAAGACTGAGAGACACTCTCCCTAACCCCACCCCGGCACTGTAGTCCATTTTAAAGAATGTTATAACACCTTCAAAGTCTGTTGAAGCTTTTGGCACAAGTGCCTCTCTCTTTCGCAGTGACAGCATTAAAAAAAGAAAAAAAAACAATCCAATGAAGCTATCCGACAGAGGCAAAGTGTTTAAACTGAAGAAACTTAGAGGGTTAATTTTTACAAATTTCCTCTGTCGGGGTCCAGTGGCCAAGTGCTCAAACACTTCTTGGGTATGGTCACTGACCCCTGGACAACCTCCCTCCATGCACCATGTTTGGTCGTATATAGGCTACTACCAATCACCCACCTACCACTCACCAATCAAACACCAACTCCTAGACTTGTCCTAGTCCTAGTGAAACATTGGTACTAGGAGTAAAACAAAATTGGGGGCCTGCAATTTCATCCCCATTACATACTGATTATATGAGGATCTATCAACAATCTAAAATGGGACTTAATGATATTAATATTACACTTAGATGGAAGGATATTTGCAAAAGCAATATTATTCTTAGGAAACTCATTTATTGAGTCTTTATATGTTTGTGTTTGTTCACTTCTCAATGCAGCTTCAGGATTGCTCTGCTTCACAGATGACAGCAACCATAGAAGAGCTTACTGACTGGTTGATAGATCAAGGTGTGACAAAATTCATTGGGGTTGAGAAAGAAGACATTGTTCAAAGCCTGTTAAATCACTACATGGTTTACAGGTGAGTTACTCTAAAAGTGCATGTAACCCGGAAAAAGGGTACAGAATCCATTACTCGTTAACTGCTTATAGCCTGGCACCCCAACCCGAGCAAAAATAGTTGACTATTTGGGAGGACGCCATCATGGCGCTGGATAGCTCAGGTGGTACGGTAATCCAGAGGTCTCGGGTTCAACTCCCATGCAGTACAGTCAAATTGTTTTTGGCTCAAATTAAAAGTCAATTGATAACATTGTAACTTTTATTGTACCCTATCATGCTTCATCAGATAGCAATTCTGTAACTAAAACACGGCGAGTCAAAAAGAAGGTAACTGAGATTAATAATTGTTCCCTTAAAACATGATTACTTTTGGTTCAACATTGCATGGTGTACTACAATGAGCATATTCTCTCACACATCAGAAAGAAATAATCACTGAAATTGATCCTTGCTGTCAGGAGTAAAGGCACCTATTATTACAGCTGTCCATGGAAAGCTGAAATGTTTGGAAGCTATTTAATGAGCACTAGATATTATACACAGGCTTTGAAATTCCAGTGAGATTTAAATCTGTGAGTTTGCATCACACCCTTAATCAGTGTCAATTATAACAGAATGATCTTCGACCCATGTAAAACCTTTTTTTTTCAGGCATTGCCAATATGGCACCTCACTGCAAGTTTGAAGAATAAACAAAATTCAACCGATTAATTTTTTTAAATGAGAATTTTGAGTTTTGTAGGTTTTCCTTACTTTCGTTCAACATTCCATGGACAGATGTAAAAAAAAATTTTTTTTTATTAAAACAGGTATAACTCCTGATAGCAAAGATCAGTTTCAGTGATTTTTTCTTTCCGATGTGTGCATGGGAGAATATGCTCGTTTTAATACACCATGCAATGTTGAATCAATGTAATCATGTTTTAGTGAAACAATGATTAATCTCGGTAACCTTCTTTTTGACTCACCCTATAGCACATCTGGCAGCAAAGCAAGGATTACATAAATTACTCTTTCTTTTGGGAGTAATGTATGCCGATGGACAGTGTGCTCTTCTTTTCAAATGCTTTAAGTCTCAATTTTACAAACGATTGAAAATTTCAATTGTATTTCATCAAGGGTTCAGCCAGCCACGAGTCAATTCATTAGTGGATTAGGAGAAGATTTGTTCCATGACATTGAACAAAATCAGCACACAACTAGATGCCTTCTCGTCCAACATGACATATCTTTGACACCCAAGAGCTTGAAGGAGTTGTATCAGGTGGAGTACTCTCCTGAGGGCTCAAACAACAAGTCTGCTGAGGATGACACCATCTACTCCTTTGAGGTTTTCATAGAAAATTGCTCAAGTAAGTACAGATTAAAGATAATGACATTGAGCTGTATTTAATGAGCAGATTTATTATAATGTCAACATTTACAATAATTTCAATGATCAGTTATCACTCTTACCCTGGGGTCACTAAATGAAAAAAAAAACATGTGTGAAATTTAAAACAACTGAAAACCCAATCTTGTGTATAATTAGGATGAAGTGAAAACTAATCAGTCTGTAAATGTGACACCCTACTACTTTCCATTGCATATTTACAATTATATATTATTTGGCTTACTGGGCCTATTTACAAGCCAAACCAAGCCAAGCAAAGAATTCGATAAAAATCATTATAGATTTTAAAATCAACAACAAAAATTATTCGTATAAAATAAAATTATAACAAATTTGTCAGTTTTTGGGTTAAATAAGGCATGTTGTTATTATGTTTCAGGGCAACCTGGTACAGGGCAAGTTAAATTGACTCAGCTGCTTGACTTCTGGACAGGAGCAGACTGCATTCCTCCATGTGGGTTCAAGAAACGCCTTATGGTTGGATTTTACACTGCTGTAACAGGTGTAAGGCGATTGCCATCTGCATACACATGCGGCCCCACATTGTCACTTCCAAGAGGAGTAGATGATCCTGACGCGTTCCACCGCATGATGGAAGATGCCATCCTCAACTGTCAGGGTTTTGGGAGAGTTTAGCCATCTGCCCTCCATAGAAGCTAGTTGTTTCTTTTTCACAGTCTCACATCCTATTTCATTTCAATTACAACTTACTCACTTGACTTAATCATTGATGGCCTCAACTATGGTGATTGGTAAAATGTTTGTTTGGCTCGTTTTTGCCAAGTTACTTTTTTTTTACTTGTAGTTTTGAAGATAAAAGTCAGCTGTGTATTAGCTTCATGAAAGGTCAGACTCTGTAAAAATAAAAGCCTTTCGTAAAAACAGTTAAATCTTTGGTTTATTCACAGATCCACCCACGCAACAACATTGGTGATGTTAAGGTTAATGGTTTGAATTTTAAAAAAAATGGATATGATGGTCTCTGCGTCGATGATTGGTAAAAAGAAGACTTGCTTGTTTGGCTCATTCTTGCCATATGCTTAATTGAGTATTTTATAAAGTTGTTACTAGTTTTGAAGATAAAAGTCAGGTGTGCATTCTCTCTTTATGAATAGTAACAGTATAGTTTAGCTTATTGGAAGACATATTTCTGAAGGGATAAAGTTGTGGAGACTACTTGCAACTCTCTCCACTGGGAAAAGTGATTGGGTATGTCTAAGAAATAGAACAATGCCACCAGTGAGCACACTGCATTCCTCCATATGGGTTCAAGAAACGACATATGGTTGGATTTTACACTGCTGTAACAGGTTTAAGGCGATAGCCATCTGCACATGCGGCCCCACATTGTCACTTCCAAGAGGAGTAGATGATCCTGACGCGTTCCACCGCATGATGGTAGATCCCATCCTGTCAGGGTTTTGGGAGAGTATTATCATCTGGCCTCAATAGAAATCAGTTATTCTTTTTCACAGTCTTACATCCTAGTTCGTTACAATTACAACTTGCTCACTACTTAATCATTCAATATTACCAAATATCCGGTCCGAAGAATTAATGATCTAAAGGTTTCAAATAAAGTGATTTTCAATTGTTAGAGATGATAGAATTGCACTGATTTTGAATTGTGTTTAAGTCCGAGTACAAAATATTGCGAAGAGAAATATCTTGCATGAACTGATGTAATAGATGTTGCTACACCCGTGAGTTTTTATGACCCATACAAGTTCATCATATGTCCAACACCACCCCTACATGATGATTGGTAAAAGTAGACTTGTTTGTTGGGCTCGTTCTTGCCTTGTGTTTAACTCAAGTATTGTATTAAACTTGTTACTAATTTTGAAGATAAAATTCAGCTGTGCATTGTCTCTTTATTAATAAATAGTAACAGTATACTTAGCATATTGGAAGTCATGTTTTTCTGAAGGGATAAACTTGTGGAGACTACTTGTAACTCTCAAAAAAAAAATGATGATGGGAGTATGTTGAAGAAATATAACAATGACACCAGTGATAAGACAAATTTAAATGACAAAAGTTTTTTTTCTGTCTCTCTCTCTCCCCTCTTTTATTACCGTCAATTTAGGCAATACATTACTTTGAAAAACACATCCACAAGAAAAACTGCACGCCACAAAATAGAAATTGCCATATAACATTAGACAAAATAATAATGCTTAAAGGGTGTCTAACCTAGGACTGTTTCATTTCCATTATCACAATCCATTCACCCTGTGTTGTTTTAGGTCCGAGCAAACAGCAAAACCCTGGATGAGTACCTGTCCATACTAGTTGATTTACCTTTGTGAGCTAAAACTCGGCGGCCATCTTTAATTTGAAGGTCAACAAAAGGTCAAATCATCAAATCGACATCAAATATGAATTCCTGTACCCCTAAACCCCAGAAACAATTATATTGTAGCACTGTGGGCCAAACCATTGAAAAAGAAACAATTTTCAAAATGGCCGACGTTGGGAATTTGGGATTTTGACCCCCCACGGATTCCAAACACACTTTTGCGAGCGATACCCCGCTATAATTTCTATTTCACTTTCATAGAAGACAAATCCACTGATAAACGAACCTTCGCTCTCCACGGTCTTGGAATTGGTCCAGATGACCCAGCTGAACAAAAAAATGGAGTCATTGTTTGTGTTTGTTTTTTTTGGGGGGCAGGGGGCTGTCTGTTGGGTTTAACATAATGAATTTTTAAAAAAAATAACAGAGTAAACCATGCCGTGCTATACTTTTTTTTAATATTAATTTTTCAATCTTGATATTTCTGTCCCTTGTCATCAAAACAGTACAGATTACGGCCTATTTTAACAAACCGAAGTCTTACAATACCTTGTGCCTGCATGATTAATGTTATATTTGTCGCAGTATTGTTGTTCTAAGGAAATGATATAGATGGAGTCCTTGGTCGGCATTACTTGGCTTATCAATACCTGCTTCATTCATCAGAAGAGTGCACAGATTAAACACATCCTTGTCACATGGAAATCGGCTTTTAAATTGACACTCGGTTTCACATACTTCTACTTCATCATGTTGCACAGGAACAAGATAATCTTGCGTTCCATACAGTTGGGGCACCGTGTACATCACCATAGGTCGACCGAATGGGCCATGTCGATTTCTTGATGAAGCTATTCTGTGACAGTTCCACTCCTTCACGGTAGTGTCAATATCATCCTGTATGAGCAAATAAGATTAATTGTTCAGGTATTTTAATTGTTGTTCACAAAGGCTGAAAGTTAAACGGCTTTCACAGATAAAGGATTTTACATTGGGACTTGTGCAACGACAAACTATTTCATAACGCCTACATATGTAATCATTTACCTGGATTAGATTCATGAAGCACAACTGTATTAAAGATGTATCCAGAAAATCACCACTGAAATGACCATCATCTTTCAGTTCTTCAAATAAGTTCATCCAGTACTGTGTGCAGTGTTTCCGAAACACACTCCACCAACATTCGATGCGCTGATTGTGCTGACTGGTACCTTGAAGAAAACTCCTGTCTCCTGCAAACGCATCTTGGAAATTGGTTCTCATGAAGTGTTGCATTTGTCGAACTGTACCATTTTCAGTTCCTAAGTCGGCCCGAATTACTCTTGGACATCCCATTTTGGCCCGTACTGTTCTCACATAATAACCAGCAATGACACTAGGATCGCTATTTGTTACGTAAGCTTCTACCCAAAGCACATTCCTGGAAAACCCGTCAATGCAGCCATTTATACAAATGCCATAGGGTTTTAGTTTATCATAAGAGTCCAAGTGCCACAGGAAATTGGGACCGCTTACGTGATATCTGCGTCTCTGAAGCCGTCTCCTTGCCCTTTGTTGAACGCCTTCCGGGTCAAGTATTCCTAACAGATGGCGCACTGTTTCTCTATCAATATTGATACCACTCTGAACGCATCGCAAGTGCATCCATCTATAGCCATGCAGTTGCCCGGATGTTTGCAACTCTCCTTCAATAAAGGTGGCGACGTCTACAATATCGGTGTGATTTTTTCGCCGGAAAAGACCTAGAGCTCGCAGTTTCCGGTTGAGATGCCGTTTACTGATAATAATATTGTTGTTTGCGAGAAGTGATGCAATTATTTCGTCGTAATTAAGGCCTAAATTGAAGTAATAACGAATTAATTGGTTGCTCTCTGCTACCGGCATGGCTATACTTTCATCACAAACAACAGCGCCCGCATGATGCACACCGCAGCTATAATTATAACAGACTTCAAAAAAAAAAAAAAGCCAAACATATACTTCAAAAAAACAAGACTCAGGAAACATATACTTGCAAAAAACAAGACTGTTACTAAAAATAGACTTCACAAAAACAAGACTCGCGAAACATACTTGCAAAAAAACAAGACTCGGGAAACATATACTTGCAAAAAACAAGACTCGGGAAATATATACTTGCAAATAACAAGACTCGGGAAACATATACTTGCAAAAAACAAGACTGTTACTAAAAATAGACTTCACAAAAACAAGACTCGCGAAACATATACTTGCAAAAAACAAGACTCGCGAAACATATACTTGCAAAAAACAAGACTCGCGAAACATATACTTGCAAAAAACAAGACTCGCGAAACATATACTTGCAAAAAACAAGACTGTTACTAAAAATAGACTTCACAAAAACAAGACTCGCGAAACATATACTTGCAAAAAACAAGACTCGCGAAACATATACTTGCAAAAAACAAGACTCGGGAAACATATACTTGCAAAAAACAAGACTCGGGAAATATATACTTGCAAAAAACAAGACTCGGGAAACATATACTTGCAAAAAACAAGACTGTTACTAAAAATAGACTTCACAAAAACAAGACTCGCGAAACATACTTGCAAAAAACAAGACTCAGGAAACATATACTTGCAAAAAACAAGACTCGGGAAACATATACTTGCAAAAAACAAGACTCGGGAAACATATACTTGCAAAAAACAAGACTCGCGAAACATATACTTGCAAAAAACAAGACTCGCGAAACATATACTTGCAAAAAACAAGACTCGGGAAACATATACTTGCAAAAAACAAGACTCGGGAAACATATACTTGCAAAAAACAAGACTGTTACTAAAAATAGACTTCACAAAAACAAGACTCGCGAAACATATACTTGCAAAAAACAAGACTCGCGAAACATATACTTGCAAAAAACAAGACTCGGGAAACATATACTTGCAAAAAACAAGACTCGGGAAATATATACTTGCAAAAAACAAGACTCGGGAAACATATACTTGCAAAAAACAAGACTGTTACTAAAAATAGACTTCACAAAAACAAGACTCGCGAAACATACTTGCAAAAAACAAGACTCGGGAAACATATACTTGCAAAAAACAAGACTCGGGAAACATATACTTGCAAAAAACAAGACTCGGGAAACATATACTTGCAAAAAACAAGACTCGGGAAATATATACTTGCAAAAAACAAGACTCGGGAAACATATACTTGCAAAAAACAAGACTCGGGAAATATATACTTGCAAAAAACAAGACTCGGGAAACATATACTTGCAAAAAACAAGACTGTTACTAAAAATAGACTTCACAAAAACAAGACTCGCGAAACATACTTGCAAAAAACAAGACTCGGGAAACATATACTTGCAAAAAACAAGACTCGGGAAATATATACTTGCAAAAAACAAGACTCGGGAAACATATACTTGCAAAAAACAAGACTGTTACTAAAAATAGACTTCACAAAAACAAGACTCGCGAAACATACTTGCAAAAAACAAGACTCAGGAAACATATACTTGCAAAAAACAAGACTCGGGAAATATATACTTGAAAAAAACAAGACTCGGGAAACATATACTTGCAAAAAACAAGACTGTTACTAAAAATAGACTTCACAAAAACAAGACTCGCGAAACATACTTGCAAAAAACAAGACTCGGGAAACATATACTTGCAAAAAACAAGATTCGCTAAACATATACATCCAAAAAACAAGACTTGCTAAACATATACATCCAAAAAACAAGATTTGCTAAACATATACATCCGAAAAACAAGATTCACCAAACATATACTTGCAAAAGAGCAATTTATACATTCGATGGCACTAACGGGCTTTCGTAGAAATACCTTTATAAGTAAAGTTCAAATAAGATAATGTAATAACAATTACGCAGTCACGATCTCGTGGAAAACTAGACTCGCATTTTTTGTTTTTAAATTTTGTGCAAGCATCCGACGTGACGCGTCAACGCGTCCGCGTCGACGCGTCCGGGTGGTAGCCACGCACGCACGAAAAGGCTGATGATTGGTTGGAATTTTGCTACCCTGTTGGGGTAGCAAAAATCGAGATTATAAGGAAAAACATAAGAATTTCTCGACAAGTTGCAAAAGGCCCTCGTGGCTTCGCCACTCGCATGTGTGGTCTCCATCTCCAGTCGCTTCGCGTTCGCCGCTTTGAATGCGGGCAAGTTAAGCCACGATGGCGTTGGTGAAAGGCTATGTCGGGGATGACAGCTGGTTGAGTGGAGATATTGGTGTTTGTCTTTGGGTTTAACAAAGAGATGTGATCAAACCATCATCCGTCTTTAGAACCTTGACATCCGCAGAAAGTGGGTATCCTTGGTTGAGTATTCGGTTGTGAATTTGATGGTCCTATGGAAGGAATTGATGTGATTAATGAATGCTGTGAGGCTAGATTCATCACTGGTCCAGATGAAAAAGATGTCATCAATATAGCGCCACCAGACCCAGGGACGGCACGGGGCTGACGCCAACATATGCGCTGTTCAAGTTGGCTCATGAATAGGCAGGCCATTGATGGTGCCATCTGTGTACCCATAGCGGTGCCATGTACCTGTAGGAAATTCTTACCCATGAACGAAAAATTGTTTTTAGTTAGAACATGGTTCATGAGGGATACTATATCAGAAATGGGCGATGAGGTGTGACTGCTCTTAGCCAAAGCTGAAGAGCAGGCAGAAATCCCTTCATCTTGGGGAATGTTGGTGTACAAAGAGGACACATCAAAAGTACCGATGATAGCTGTGTTGGGGACCTCTGGTTCTGAATACCTGAGATTTTACGGAGGAAATCAGGAGTGTCATGAATATACAATGTATAATGGAATCTGTGGCACTAGAGGCTGGAGAAAACTGTCAACAAAAAGAGATATATTCTCAGTGGGGGAACCATTGCCAGATATGATGGGTCTCCCTGGGTTATCTGGTTTATGTACCTTGGGAAGAAGGTAAAATCTAGCTGTTCTACAATCGACTGGGGAAAGAAACTTGTGAGCTTTCTTGGAGAGGTGGTCACGGTCATGCATTTCGTCCAGTGTCTGTTGAATCTCCTTTGAAAAGGTACCTGTTGGATCAGTGTCAAGGGGTTTATAGTTAGTTTGGTTGTTGAGTTGTCTCATGGCTTCATCGATGTATTGCTGACGGCCCATGACAACAACAGCAGAGCCCTTGTCAGCTGGTTTGATGATGATGTCCTTCCGTGCTCGTAGAGTCTTAAGGGCCTCACGTTCTTCTCTAGGGAGGTTGTCATGAGTCCTGTGGGTGGAATGATCGCTTGAATTAATTTGTGAACTAACAACCTGTATGTCAGTTTCGAGGGAAGGAACACGGTTCTTTGGTGGTGCCCATTTACTCTTGCAGTAAAATGGCTCTGGATCCATGGGTGGTGAGTCAAGGAAGAATTCATGAAGGCGAATTCTGCGGTAGAAGTCAGGTCCTGACTGAGCTCAACCTGATTGACTGTGGGGGTAGTGGGGCAGAAGTTGAGTCCATTGGAGAGCAGGCTGTGTTCAGTGAGTCTGAAAGGGTAGATGATGAGACGTTAATAACTGTGGATGGAGGGGCTGACTGCTCAGCCTCAGGGGGTATATGTTACGCTTGAAACGTCGCTGTCTGTACTGTTGCTGTTTGGCGACAAGACGACCAATCTTACCATTTCTCCTGCAATTAAGAACAGATTCAAGTTTATGTGGCAGGGCCAAGATTTAGTTGTGAAGGTTTGTCTGATAACGATGTAGGCCTATTTAATGTCCAATAAGGTTTTTTTTTTTTTAAATAAGACAAATTGATAAATTCACTCTGTGTTCAGGAACATTCAAGTTCACAGTTCGGGTCAGGTCAGGACAAGGTTAAAAATTAAGCTTTACTGCTCTGCGGCAACTTAACTCAGAAGGTTACACATTTAAGATTTATAGCTTGAACTCAGATAGTATAAGGACAATTAAGACTTACTAAATGGATGTCAACTTTGAACTCATGACCTTCCTACTGGTCACGTTCAGGGTGCAGAGTATTGTATTATTGTATACTGCATTGGTGTATTTAGTAGCTCCCCTCGGGAAAAAGAAATTATTTTAAGTTCAGTTTAGATGCCCCCCCTTTTTCCCCTATATAATCTGCCACATAGTCAAGCCTCATTTAGTACAGCCAGCAGACCAGCAGAGACAAGTTCACATTTACTTTATGTTCCTCCTACCTGGAGTGTGTTCCTGCTTGAGATTGTCTGCTTGTCAAGTCATTGGTGAGTTTTGACATGAAATTGTTTTATTAATGTTATGTACTCAGTTCAGTTTTGTGTATAAGTTTTGAGACGTCGTTTGTTTTGTTTTAATAATGTTCAGGGTTATGACATGTTTGTAGTAAGTTCATGAGCAGTCTTGCTATGATTTGATTTTTGATTGAATTTGTGATGGATCATGATCGTTGCAGTTTTGGTATCTTTGTGGAAAAATGTGTTGTTACAAGGTTGAATTATTGATTGTTTTCTTGGTAATCAGAAGGACTGAGTTTTCTTGCCTAATGAGTTTGTTCAAGTGGTTGATGAATGTCGTATTACCTTTTTAATGATAAGGTTTGATTATTTTTGTTTATAGTTCTGTGGTTGTATTTTGAAATTTGGTTTTAAGTGGAGAC